ATATAGTATCAGATGGCCGTCGCACAGCGGACAGCTAGCCGGACGAGATACTGGTGATAGCTTGCTCACTAAAGAGAAGCATTAGCATAAGCATTGGGGTATGTAGAATGATATCAGACAACCATCGAAGAGCGGACAGCTCACCGGACGATATATTGTTCACTCGTGGCTGACTACACGTAACCATTGGGTGTATAAGATGGCATTAGAGAGCCATCACACAGCGGAGCCGTAGCCGGGAGATACAATACGATGATATATGATAACCATCGACCAGCAGAGAGATCGCCGGACACTATATTGATCATTCATGGTGCATTAAATGTAAGCACTAGGGTATATGATATGGCATCAGAGTACCATCGACCAGGGGACACGTCACGCGGTATCTTCACTGTCCACCTCTTCTCCGGGGCCGGACGACTATTTAGAAATGGTTTCGTCAGAGGAAAGCTAAAAGCGAGAAATGAATGAAACATAGCCGGACGCTCCTTCCACATGGAGTCCTTACAAACTTGGTGTCAGGTTTGTTGTGATGAATCAGTATAGAGCTGTCATCGGGTGGCCACTGCACCGGACAGTTTGTCTATGGCAGTATTAGAGGCGACTCGTACGACTTCACACATGTCTGGGGTATCACCCGATCCGATCTTTATATCCTTGGTTAAATGCATTGGCTCAATAATAATTACATCAGTGTTGAATCAGGCTCAGTGTTACGTGCTTTGTGCCGGATTGCAACCCTACTCACTCACACGGAGTGTTAAATATAGAAGTCGCTTATGAAATTCATATCGGTCCGGAATCACCCGGTTACGCCGCACAAGCAGCTGTGTGGGGAAATGTACGCTAAAGTAAACAACGACGCGTCAACGCGTTTCTCCACCCACTTCATACCGCCACACACCAAATGTCGGCCTCAACCTCACTTCCCCCTCAGCAGCTCCCCCCACTTCCTTCGTATTTCGAAGACGCTGGCCTTGTATAGCCGCCGCGGTCACGTCAAGACGCCTCGCAGGTGATGGCAATTTGCAAGGGCCGACTGGCTCATGCGTTAGTATCTCGCGACAGGGTATCGGAGGACGAGGAGGAACAGCTGAATTGGACAGTGCACTGGCTGTTGATGATGGTAAGCATGTGCAGGTTTGGAAGGTTTACTCATAACTGGTCGGACAGGACAACTTCCGTTCGATGTCGGCTACGATCCTTCATCACGTCGCGCCCTCCGCCTTGTTCAGCGATCTCGTCCTGGGCCCTGTGACCCATCCGTTCTCCGACGCGTTCACCGTCCCGCCGTCCCTCCGCATCCCACCTGGCTACGAGGATACTACCACCATCGGGTCCGACGTGTGGTGGCAAGGTGTGGGTCAGGGCCGATGGTGGTCTGATGGGTCATCCGACGAAGAGGATGACACGCGCATGGCATCCCCTGCGCCTCACCCATCGACGTTGTTATCCCACGGTACTGTTTGCACCCCCGGCCCTTCGAACGCTCCTCCAAACAAGTTCAAGGCGGCGCAACAGCAGTTCGGCGGCGTTGTGATTCAGACGACGTCCCGGGCCATTGGGGCGACGGTCACCGGTGGGAGCAAATTGGTTCAGCGACCGGACGGTTCGTCGGATGCCACGTCGGACGTAGACTCTGACGAATGGGAGGTGAACTCATGCACGACCGAATACGCCGAGGACTTGAACCTCACGCCAAGGAACGAAATCAACGACAGGACGCATTGGGTACAGGCGGACCTGAATCGCCCCAAGCGTCCGATCGAGCACAGGGATGCATGCGTCTACTGCCTGCGGAAGACCACACGTTGCATCGGACCGTCCGGAGAGTCGTGCTTAGTATGCCACTATGTCTGCAAGGGCGTTTGCCCATGGGCGTCCGGTGGCGGGTCGAGGCCAAAGAAGAAGAGGGCGAGGCGAGGCAATGAAGATGTATTGGAGCGACCTGAGATGACGGCACCGCAGGACTATTGGGGCGACATCCCGGAGGGCGTTTACCGCGAGGCCAAGGAGAGGATTGAGTCGTTGAAGAGGAAGTGGAACAGCATGGCGGCAGACAGAGGGGATCGAGGTAAAGATCATTTTCACGACCTCGGATCCGATCAGCTGACTAATCGTGTTGCAGTTGCGCGACCAAAAGCAAGCCGGACGAAGAAAGTGACTACGAAGTCCCGGGTGGCCGCGATGAACAAGGATCTCGCAGGTCCCATCCGTGCGGCCTTGGCTTCAATCAATGAGCAGTTGGATCTCCTCGAGAAGGCTATCGACGATGCCCCAACGTTGGACGAACTTTGCTCGGTGGCCGCGCAGGTCGACGGCTTGAAGGTGCCGGGTGTAGAGGTCGAGACGGGGGCAGAGTAGACACTGATCGGATACAGCACTTAGAATACACAGAACTGTAAGACCGGGTGTTAGGCTTATATTCAATTCAGTCCGCAGTCCGGTATGTTCTGAATGCCGGATATACCATTGAAACAGTGTTGGATCTCGAGCAAGGCCTGAGGTTGTACTGCCTTGTTCACACCATCCGACATTATATTGCAGTATACATTTATCCGTTTTGAAACATGAAAGCAACACCGGATTGCAATGCCCAACCCAGATGCCGTCCGCCCCTGGCCAATGGGGGATATCATCCGGTTCGGATACATTGTGTCTCGCGTGCCAATGGGTGATGTCATCAGGTTCAGATGCCATGGAGAGAGGTGGGGACTTCCTATGGCACCGTCGGTCAGGGTATTTATCGAACGGGCAAGATTGGGTTGATCATGCAGTTTAAGGGCTATTTAAACCAATCGGCTGAATCCGGATTGCATATATTGATTCACACGTGTATTGCGTATGCTTAGCATATGGACTCAATCCGAAGGACGGAGAATCCCAGATCATCGTCTATGACCTTGGCTGTGGTACTCCCAATGTCTTCCTCCTGGTATTCCTTAGAGACGCAGCCTGCATATCCTTTATATAAAGACCCAATAAGAAGGGCAGAGAGTCTCAGATCATCGTCTATGACCTCGGTGGCGGTACCTTCGACGTCTCCCTCCCATCTGCTGACCGGACATCCTTGGGGGTTATGTCCGGCATATCCTGGGG